GACAATAAACTCGATATTGTCACTGCAAATAGAGATTCAAACACCGTCAGTGTTCTTCTCAACATCGGCAGTGGCACTTTTTCTTCTCAAGCTACTTACCCAGTTGGTGCAAATCCAGAGTCAGTAGTAGTAGCCGATGTGAACAGTGACAACAAACTCGATATTGTGACTGCAAATAGAGTTTCAAACGCTGCCAGTGTTCTTCTCAACATTGGGAACGGCACTTTTTCTTCTCAAGTTACTTACTCCGTTGGTGCAGATCCGTGGTCAGTAGCAGTAGCCGATGTGAACAGTGACAATAAACCCGATATTATCATTCCAAATAGCAATTCAAACACTGTCAGTGTTCTTTTCAACGCCGGCAAAGGCACTTTTTCTCCTCAAGTTACTTACTCAGTTGGTGCATATCCATTTTCAGTGGCAGTAGCTGATGTGAACAGCGACAACAAACCCGATATTGTCGTCGCAAACATGCATGAAATTTTCATCAGTGTTCTTCTCAACGAAGGCAACGGCACTTTTTCTCCTCAAGTTACTTACGCAGTTGGCACAGGTCCAGCGTCAGTAGCAGTAGCCGATGTTAACAATGACAATAAACTCGACGTTGTCGTCGCAAATTTGGATGACAATACGGTTAGTATTCTCCAACAATGTTAAAATTTATTTCTTCATTATACTCAACATCCTTATTGACATTTTCTTGCCGTACCGACAACATTATCCCATTATTAATCACTTGACAATATGAAGCAAATAACAATGTTCGTTCGATACTAAAATATTTCATAAAATTTTCTCATTATCAATCATTCACTCAAACTCATTAATGCTTATACTTTCTGCTTCTTGTACTGTTTTTTTTGCTTGAATTAATGGATGCCAAACTGATCCTGTCTTTTGACTCAAAGAATAGTTTGAGTACATGGATGAGAATGTGATTGAGTGTAGGTATGAACAATCAGATCAGTATCTTCAGTCACATCTAACCTCATCAAGTTTCGTAGTACTGGAAACTGATGAGAAGTACCGATTATTAACCGTCAATTGATTAGTTTGCGAATTTAATCTCATTTTACAATTGCTTTTCATTTAATGTCATTTATCACTAATAAATATATTCAATTAAATAGTTCAGTTTGTATATATTGCTGTTACAGAAAATAGTCTTGAGAAAGCTACACCCACATCCTGTTTGTTATGAATGATAGAAGAGGATCTTTTCCTAATAGAGAACAATATTCTATGGCATCATTACCACACAGCACACATTTATACGTGAATATTAAAAGAAATAGATCAAAAAAGAATACCACGATCAAAAATAGTCAAATACTTGCGATACATTAAATTTTGTTTTTTTACGATGAGTATTGAGAATAATTTTCTTTCAGCTTAATGTTTTGGTGAAATTTTGGTTCGATTCAAAACTAGGGGTGGAGTGGGGTGGGTGTGGTTGTATCTCGTTTAAGTTACCCACCCACACCCACACCCACACCCACACCCACACCCCATCCTCAAGATGGTAAGCAGGATTTTTATGACATCCCTGTGAGAAGCGTCTATTTCATGAAAACTTAGTATTTCGACACAAGAACATTATTTTTGACTGAAATCTTCAAGATATTCTAAGGACTATTAGACCTATATATGGGCAAAACTTCATTATTTGACATTTCGAGAAATACTCAAAAAAATCTCTAAGAATTCTACTAAAACGATCATAACTCAGCTGCCAAGATCTATGAACTGGAATCCTTTTGGGTTTACACTCGTTTCATTGAGATCTAACTAGAGTGGACACTTCAAGTACTTCTCTCGTAAGTATCCAATGTCTAATTCAATAAAAATATGATGATTTTGCCATCTTTTATACAAGCACACAATTGATGCGCGCGTTTCATTTACTTTTATCAAAAATTATTCGTAGACTTCGTGCTACATTTATAAAAAGACGTCTGAAAGCGGAAGAATCGACAAACGGTGGATGTTTATAACACGCGACATAGAAGAAAGACGTTGGACTGTGATATGTATATATTGAATAAAAAAAAGCATGTTAAGAATATTTGACGACAGAAAACTTAAAGGTGACTCATAATATTTCGATATCATACTGGTACACAAAACTTATTATATAAAGATAAAAGTCAAGCAATTCTTTTGATGCTGGAGATAGTATAACTTATCTTTTGTTACGTGTGTGAGAGTGGCAGGCAAACATAGAACACTTTGGAAGAATATTTCTTTTTATTTTTGATTTCAAGTCTTTTATAAAATATCATATGCATAACAACAAGGCGTACATCGAACGTGGCACTGGAAATAATAGACCATACAAATGGTTGCATCATCGTTCAATTAAGATCATCGGCATTGCATTTATAGTTTTAACAATTTTCGCAGTTACTCTCGCTCTGTTGTTAAAATTTGTTATTCTTGCACCTAACAAGTCGGAAACCAGTACCATCACAACAACACTACCACCACTAACAACTACGACCACCAGTCAGCAGTCCGGTAAGCTTTAGATGTTACTCTGCATCTAGCTAAAAATTACATAAAAAGGGTAATAAGATTTCAAGAGCGAAGTCTCTACAGTTTTCCTATAACCAAAACCTGCTCTGTCCCAACTAAGATAACTATCAAGTCAGGTGTTCTAAATCTGTCAGATATCAACATCATCGAAAGCTGTTTTTTACAGGAATTTGACATTTTATCGATTCTTTTTCTTATGACCTCCAATAAACTGATCTATTTTCGCTTTCCAGACATAAGAAAAAGACAGGTTGCACAGCGAAATTGACTAAAGATCGAAATGAGAATGTCTGGACGTATGTTCAGACGTGCTCATCTGTGAGAGAATATGAAATAATACGCTAGTCTTACAGTCGAGGATGATGTATAGTGAACGTCCCGATGAATTCGAACAACAAAGATTGTTCTTCTGCCTCATATTTTAACTCTAGTATGAATGTATATCATCATTTTCTTCGTCTTTCGATAAATCTCCACGTTTTTCGGCACTAACTATTTGGTTGTCTTTCGATTTTGTCACAATGAGAACAACAACGGAATATCAGTAGTATGCACATTCGATCTAGGTCTAAGACGATGTGAGTTTAAAGTTGAACATATTGTCAAAACTAAGCTACTATAATAGCTGATTCTTTTTGTTTTTCTCATACATTATAATGTTTACTTTCTACAGAAACTATATATGGCCATCTATCGATATTATGTATAAATTAAAAAACGAAAATTAGAAATAGAGAAAGTAAAACTCCTACTTATATGAATATAGATGTACCCGGTAAATAGAATATATGATTGTCTCTACAAAAAAAGTCTTTATATCCATTACGAACCCGCAAACAGTATCATTCCATTTTGTTCGGTCTTTTTCTGTGAAAAGTACCTTTAAACTCTCATACGATCTCCAGCGCACAGATGTTCTCGATCGTTGAAATAATCATTCAAATAACAATAATTTTGAATTTTTTTTTGATGATCGAATAAGTAAAACGGAGTGCATTTATAAAAACATTATTGCATATTATGGATTCATATCCGCCATCAAACTGCTTATCAAATTTGGTCACGACAAGACCAGATTCGAGTTTCGCACATGGAGGAATGCGACACTTTCTCTCCGCACCTCTTTCATCCGTGTAGAGATCCATAAGGACCATTATAATAAATAGAATCGACATACGATTCAAAGTACATTAGTTCTTGAAAAATAATGCAACGACAGGTACAAAACACAAACCTAATCTATCTGTTATCCATGGACACAATGTTGAGACTTCTTCCGATCTGCAGCGATTGTAAGGATACAGCAATACATATTCTTTTCAAAATGAATACATTCAAATGCTTCCGTTTAGGATGGTCTAATACTAGTTACATGAATATAAGACGAGAGGGACATACAGCATCCGTATTAAAAAATGGAAAAGTGTTAGTTGCTGGTGGATATGGTACTGGTTCTAGTGGTCATCTGAATAGTTCGGAGTTGTATGATCCATTAACGAGAATTTGGACGACTACGGGTGGCATGAATGATAGACGAATGGGGCACACAGAATCCGTATTAATGGATGGAAGAGTATTGGTCATTGGTGGCACCGGTAGTCGCCGTTTAAATAGTGTTGAGTTTTATGATCCATCAACAGAAACTTGGACAATTACTGGCAGCATGGATGATATACGAAACGGACACACAGCATCCGTATTAAGAGATGGAAAAGTGCTAGTTGCTGGTGGTTTTAATGGTGATCTTAATATTTACCTAAATAGTGCGATTTTATATGATCCATCGACAAGAACATGGACAAAGACTGATAGTATGAATAACACACGACGTTTTCACACAGCGTCCGTATTATCAGATGGAAGAGTGTTAGTTGCTGGTGGATTCGATGGTCGGACTTATCTAAATAGTACCGAACTGTATGATCCATCAACAGGAACTTGGACAACTACTGGTTACATGAATGATGGACGAGAGGAACATACAGCATCCGTATTAACAAATGGAAGAGTGTTAGTTGCTGGTGGATTCGATGGTCGGACTCATCTAAATAGTACTGAACTGTATGATCCGTTAATAGGACTGTGGACAACCACTGGAAGTATGAATGATGCACGACAGCTCCACACAGCATCCGTATTAATAAATGGAAAAGTGTTCGTTACTGGTGGATCCGGTGTTATTGATGTTCTAAATAGTGCTGAGCTGTATGATCCGTTAACAGGACTTTGGACAACTATTGATCACATGAATGATGCACGACAGCTTCACACAGCATCCGTATTAACAAATAGAAAAGTGTTAGTTACTGGTGGATTTGGTGGTGCTGGTATTTTAAATAGTGCTGAGCTGCATGAAGTGTTTCAAACAAATTAAAGCATAACTTCCTTATTTTAGTAACAATGAAGTGTTTCTATACAAATATTATTATAATTTGTGCATCTCTAATAAATTAATTGATAAAAACAAATTGTCTCTGTCTCTGTATTTTCAGCACCCAGTGGGTGTTTGTCTTATATTCATGCCACATCTACACCCATCCGATTTTCTAGGTCGTGTCTTCAAATTTTTCACTCTATCGAGATAAAATTCGGTTGTTTTTGATAAATTTTTCCATTAATTCTAGACTATCATATGAGTTTAGGTTAAACAAAATATAGAATTTATGAAGAAATCTATTCACTCGTCATATAAACGTTTGAATAGATTTTTAAAGAAACTTTCTAACTATGAAAACTCACACTAAGCAATAAGAATATATAGAATTATTGCATATTTAACATCTACTAACAGAATAATTATAGTTGACGGGTTGTTTTAATGATTTGCTGTATTTTAGATTATGTGATACATTCCCATGTCTTCAAAATCGCCAAGGTTTGGGCGATGAATCGCGATTTTTCAAAATATTGACGATTATATCGCCAGTAAAAAATGCTTATTTTGTCGGAATCATTACGAATCAAGACTTTTCGACAAAAAAATCGGCAAAAAGTCCTTAATTTTGGCGATTTTATTGCGATAGATCTCACAATTAATCGGGTGCTAAATCTCGATTAAATCGTCAATTTTCCCCCGATTTTGATGACATGGGTATTATTTTTCATATATAAATTTTCATTGAATTTATCCTTACACTGCACTTCTGCTCTTTTTTTGATTTTGAACATAGAATAATAAGAACTGAATAAAAATTCATAGTATCATAGTCTAGATTACAATAAGCATCTTCGCTATCTCGAAATAAAAACTATTTTAGACAGTTGATGTTTATTGATGAAATCAGATTTATAGTGCAGAAAAATAGAAAACTCATATTCTCTTTAAATAAAATTTATTAAAGAAAATCTTCGTCAGATGTTAAAAATCAATTGTTTATTTTGTATTTACAAATAAGAATAATTAAATTTTATTGCTCAACATATTCAGCTATGCATCGCCTAAATTTGTTGGCTTCTTTTGCAACAAATCAATCTAAAAATAATAAGAAATATAATAATACAATGAATTACATAATTAATAGTTAAGAGAATAAAAGCAGGTTTATATAAATCAGATCGACAATACGTTTTTGTAATACTAGGATAATCTCCTTGAACATTATTAACTTTCGCACCATATACCCAAACTGAATCTGCAATTAACCAAGCAAAGCTAAATAAGAGTACGATAAATGTCGAAATGAAAGTAATAACGAGAATAACTGTTTCCATTGATTTATTTACTTCTATACCATGAGGAAAATTACGTCTTATATTCATTACTCCAATCAAAGCAAGTAAAATTAGTAATAGATGAATTGAAGCATGAACGATCATGTAAGTAATTACCATAGGTTCTACTGGACATTGACCAATATATGTTATAGCAAATGTTAGATGAAAACCACTGATTATAATTCCTATAGGGATAATTATAAAATGAAGTTTCCGTGAGTAAAAACGAACAGCTCTTTGAAGCCAAATAGGATGTGTTGAGGATGGTTGAATTTTGTTTGATGATTGTGTCATTATTTATTTTCTAATCGAATAAATATTCTAAAAAAATTTAATTTTTATCATTCTAAATCGAAATTTTCATCTCAGTTCAATGTGGAAGATTACAGAAAATAGTCTAAAAGAAGAAAATATACGTGAGTATTATTCTTTATTATAAAAACACGTCAGATGGATAAAATTTTTTAATAGATTTTATTTTAGAAAAATAAAAAAATCTTTTGAAGAAATGTATGAATACTATCCAACTAGTTCATTAAAGACATCTCTTAAGTAAAAAGTTGTTCTGCGCTATTAAATAATGTTTTTAAAAGAAATTATATGTGCTCTGTTGAAAAAAACTTTTTTCTTTCAAAGTTCTTAGAATAAGCCGACGACCCGGATGTAATTTCCCTTTTTGATGTTCGACTGATATGGCGATGACAACTCTTTCTCCTCATATTTTTTTCTTTTAACTATCATTTATGATGAAAGAAAGAAAGAAAAGAACTAACGTCAGAATAAATATGAAATGCTCACTCTAATCTTGTATTATAGAAACGTCAAATGTAAAAAAAAGGACTAAAAATCCAGTTATAATTGATTATCGTGAGAAAAGCATAAAAATTCGTTCTAACGAATTTTTAGCCATTGTTTTCATGAGTTGTCAAAGCAAGGTTGATCTATCCAATAGTCGAATCCGATAGATACCTAAGACCATAAATTAATAATGCTTAAATGAAAGCTTATGAAATTTTTAGCATTTGATATATTGTCGACAAATTTCTGACGGATTCTGTCGAATTTAAGAATTTGTGTATTTTTCTCAAACAGATGTTTGTTTGTGAAAAGATAGTCTATAGTATTGTTTATAGAACCTTAAACAAACAACTGGTGTAATCATACTCTTAACCACAGATACACCACATACCATCAAGAATCAATCAAATATGTATTTTAAAGAAAAGAGAAAAGCCATAAAAAAAAGTATTAATGATATTAATAATAATTGATAGTTAAATTAGAACATTGTATTTGTAAAATTGAATTGTCTTAAATGATTCTGTCAACATCTTATTAACATATATTTGTCTATCACATACAGTCTGATTCAAAAAAACTTGCACAAAATTTAGTTTTTTATATAACGATCTTCTTACCGTTAGAAAGTAACTAGAAATTTGACTTTTTCAGGGATATATGTTCGTTAGATATATTACACGTTGGCTACATAAAAGTGTGATTTCTCTTCTTTTTGATATATTAACATTTACTCATGACAGTCTACTGATTTAAAAAAACTATCATATATTGACACTACGTTATTGTAACAGAGACATGGATTGCGCTCGTGCTCTTTATCATGAAATAACGATATTATCAAGGACTATCTATTACAACATAAATAAATTGAAAAAAACAAATTCACATAAACAGTGAAGAGGAAATGGTCGACTATGTGCCACACGGAGATCGAAAAAAATTATATTGCTCAATATATTCGATTTAACAATTAAATAATCCTTAATGAAATTAAAGAAAAATTATCGACAACTAATGGTTCATATTAAGCTCATATACTAAAAAATTGTCTTCTTTCTGCTGTTAGACATGAATTTCGTCAAAATTGGTGTTTACAACAAGAGAATGATCGTAATCATACCCACAATATTTTCAAACAATTGATCAACAATAAAATATTAGAATTATTCGAGTGCTCATCTGATACTCGAAACACTAATCCTATCGAGAACTTGAGGTCGATCGTAAAACGCAAAGCTGGAAAAAGAAAACCGAAAAATATTCATGAACCAGAGCTTTTTTTATGTGAAGAATTTAAAAATGTTGATGTTAATATTGTAGTGTAAATTGTGATGTCGATGAAAAAACGATGTTTGTCTCTTATTGAATCTAAAGGCGAACGAATAAAATATTGAAGTATAGTGTTTAATAGCACTCGCCATAGGCTATCAATCAGTAATGGAAACTACTTGAGAGGAACTTATATATGGGGATATATTTACAAAACAAGACGTGCAATTTTTTTTGAATTGAACTGTATGTGTAAATATAAAAATTGTTATCAAAATAATCACAATTATGTTACCGTGATAAGATTTAACTCCACTTGCAGGAGTTGTAGTAGTAGTAGTTGTAGTTGTCATAAATGTTTGAATTGAATCCCAGAAATCACATTGTGTCGTATTGATTATGTTAAAAGTGAGATTGTGATCAAATCTAACACCTTGTTCACCATTACTCCAATCTATCCATTTAGTTCCATTTGCTAATGTTGGATAACCATTTTTCGACATACTTTGCCATGCTGTTATCATTTCTACACTTAAAATTTGTTCATTTGCTGATAATGTACATGTTCCGTTTGGTTGTGGTAAATTTGATATTTCTCCAAATACAAATGCAAGTTCACTAGTATGAGTTGGACCTAAGGCAGCAAGAGCGGCAGCTTTGATTGATGATACCCATGGACAACTTGATGTATGATTCCATAAATAAGTATATGTACCCAAGTTAGTTGTTAATGAAGTTTTGAGAGCGCGTCGTGTTGGACAAGCATATTCGGCATCAGTAATAACAGCAGCAATAGCGTAGAGAGCTGATACACTAGTTGAATTGAACATTGAGATGGGATAGACAGACGAAATATTGGAAACAAGATTAGCACCAAAGACAGTACTAAGATAAGTATTATAATCATTTGAAGTAACACCGAGTGGATTAGAGAAAGATGACCAAGCAAAGAAAGTTCCATCCATAGTACCTTTTAATATAAAAATAATTTTCATATATCAATTGAGAATATAAATCTTAATAAAGAAACTTACATGTGCCTGCCATGAATGGAACTTTTGGTGAAGTATAAATTGGTTGTACTGGTATTATATTTCTATCAACATGAGCATAAAAATTAGTAGGTAAATAAAGATATATTGAAGCATTGATAATTGTTGCTTGATTGATTTGATCAACTGTTTTTGAATAAAGACACGTCGTTATCTATTTTGAAAGGAAATCTTTTCTGATATGTAAAATTATTGATACTTACATTAGTTGAATTACTACAACCAAGATTTTGAACAAGTAAAATTACCATTTGTAATCTGTTGTTCAGTAGTTGTGAGATATCTTCCAGAACCTGATTTTGAGATAACACTTGAGAAAAGAGTATTAGCTTGAGGAAGAGTACTAATAATATGAGCAAGAAATCCACCCGTTGATTGACCAAATAGGAGAACAGTTTTCTATATTAAATATATCAAAATAGAAATTTTATCTATTTTCAATACTATTTCAAAAATAAACAAAATTTTCTCTGAACAACTCTATTAAACAACTAATTATTTTTTCATTGAAAATATCAATAAAATATAAAATTATAGATTAAAATTCTACATACATTATTACCACCGAATGAAACAATATTTTCTTGAATCCATTTTAATGCCAAGAGAATATCGAGAACACCATAATTACCTGTAAAATTTGTTGGTAATCCTAATGTAAGCCAACCAAGAGGACCAAGTCTATAATTCATTGAAACAACAATCGCATTTGTAGCTATAGCACATCCATTACTTTATAGAAATCAAATAAGAAGTTAAGTATTTGAAATGAGTTCATAATTATTTTCAACATAAAATATTTATATATAAATAGATGAAAAAGCTAGAAAATATTTTTATATGATATTTCTAATTGTACGCAACCACTAAACATCGCTTCGTCAGCAACATACTATAGATGGACAAATAATGGAAACATTCGATCATCTTGAATGTTAATTGAGTTTTTAATTTTTTAAAATTAAAATTCATGATTTTTTCAGCTCTTTATAAAACATTACAGTTTTTGATTGTCTTTTCACAATTTCTATAACTACTCTTGGAGATCTTTATCATACCTATGATTATTATCTATTGATGTGTTATCTATAAATAGATTACCAGATGGATACATTGATAGATGACCTGTCGATATTCAATTCTTTTATCTTGAACACGAACGATAATTGTATTTGAAAATTACTTTGAGAGTGAAGACATAAGTAGATATAGATGCTCTTTTAGTTAACTTGCTCTAATATCAAACGCTCACTCATCTTAAACTACGCCTATACTTGTATCTACTTTCATCTAAATCACACCCACGCTCTTGGTTTAATTACTGCGTCACTAATGTCATGAATGTTCAATTGAAGTATTTATATATAATAGCAGTGAGATTATGATCGATACGACTAGTTTGTAAACAAACAGAATACATCCATATGGGTTCTTTTCATGATCTTTATTTTTTTTGTTGTTGTACTGATCTACTTACTAATTGTCTGATTGATCAGTTAGATAGCACAACGCGAATAACAAAATAACAATGAAAGATATTGTATGATACATAGATCAAATGAAGAAGAAATAATTCCTTTTTTTTCTTGTCTATGAAAAAAAACATACAGTCATATCTAATTCATCTCATTTTTCTTTATAACAATTTGAATGAGTAATATAGTTTTTTTCGCCAATTAAATAAATTATCTAAAAGGGAAATAATAATACTCTATTTAAATAGATGAAAAATAATATAGAAAGTAATTCATATATCTAATAAATAAATAATTATAGACAAAAAAAAAAGTTTGCCGTTTTTTTATTGTTTTCAATTGAACATATTAAGTTAATGATAATGATCAACATCTGTTTGCATATTTAATTGTGTTGTTCATTCGTCGTATCTATAGAAAGAAAGAAAGAAAAAAGAATGTGAGAATCATTTGTCATTCAATATGATATTTTCATATTGACTGTTAATTCGTCTATTGTATTCAATTACTAACATGACAAGTAACTGTTTTATGTCAAATGATTCTCAATGGGAATAAGTTAACTGATAGATTTATTGAAAGCAAAATAGTTTTTTTATTTTCTAATAGAGTAATAAAATTCAATCTAAAGGCGTGTCTGTTTCTAATTTATTAGTCGAATGACATTCAATAACTTTTATCTTCTGTCAAACTCATTTTTTTTTCATCTAATAACGAGCGAAAAAAAAAATTTTTTTGTAGAGATTAACGACATAATGTGACTAGCAACAAAAAATTCTCAAGAGAAAACAAAATCAAGGTGTATATATAATGCTATCTGTTTCACATTCATTAACAATTCACGAGTCAATTATGTTGTACGTCAATGTGTTGATTATCGAATTAATTTGTCACACATATATAGTAGCTGTTATTCATCTCATTTCCTATTATCATATTCATTTTCATTTTGACTACGATCATCATCATCATAATCATGCATGGAAATAATAAGTCGTTTTCTATCGAATATTTGATAGCTGGAAAATCTTCACCACCATCATCACCAATTCCACTCGTCTCATCATCATCATCATCATCACGTTTCTTTTTTTTACATTCACAATTATTTAAAACAAATAATGATGAACATATTGAAAAGAAATCTAAAACAATAATTAATTCACCAGCATCTCAAACATCATCAACAACATTTCAACAGATACCATTTGAATTAAAACGTATGCGTACAGCATTTACTAGTATACAATTACTTGAATTAGAACGAGAATTTGCATCAAGTATGTATTTATCACGTTTACGTCGAATTGAAATTGCTGCATGTCTTGGTTTAACTGAAAAACAAGTTAAAGTAATAGACATTTTTTGATTATTATTTAATTATTCGTTTGTAAATTATTAGATTTGGTTTCAAAATCGTCGTGTAAAATTTAAAAAAGAAGGAACAATAACTACTTGTGATAAGAAAAATTCAGTGAAAGTATTACGAACATGTCATACAAATCAACATAAACGATCAAATGAACTTTGTAATGATAGTCAATAATAAACTAATATATATATATATACATAAATATTCGTTTGTACATGTAAAATGTCATTGTCATAATTTTAACTTATATATTTCTGTTTTATTTGTAATAATAATAATATGTTTTAGTATGATATAGTCAAATGTTATTACATGATGAGGATACATCCTGAAGTATTGCGAGTAAACAGAAGAAGAATTTATTCCAAATATAATATTGCTTAAAAGATTTTTATAAGATACTATTATAATTATTCCAGGGTTCTTTCGAGTAATACAATATGTTTATTATTATGTCATATTATTCTTCGATCTGTCTATTATAATATAATAGATAATTTAAAAATTTGATGGCATAGTTTTTTATTATTTTAAATGAAGTAAATAAGAATTCGAATATTGATATTGAGGTGTTAATGATTATAATTTTTTCTCAAAATGATGTAATCAGCACGTGTATAGACACGTGCTACGTGTAAATAAGTTCAGTCTTAATCAAGAAAGAAAACAGATGTTAAAGTACTAATGCATAAGAGACAAATTATATTTATAGAATTCATTTTTATTAATCATTATTGGAAAGATCTATTGAATATAAATAATCATAAAATAAATAGAATAATAGAAAAACTATATTATCGAGTAAATACAGATGACTTAAAATGGGATTGACGGAAAACGTCGAAAAGGAAAATATAGAAAAAATGATTTTAAGAAGATGTGTATACTGTTCGTTATCTTATTATTGCAATTACTATTGGCTATTGCTTTCAAGTTTAATCGCACCGGCTGTATAGATCATATCGAGGGTGTGGTTATGGCAGTGGCGGATCCAGGATTTTGGAAGGGGGAGGAGCGATACCTGGAGAGGGGGGGCGATTTTGGCTAGAAGCTATTTTTTGAGTCCAATCGAAGTAGCGTGAACCTATTTTTTCGTTCATTTTTGCTCTAGAAAATCGGAAGAGGGGGGGCAATCGCTCCCCTTAAATCCGCCACTGGGATATGGGTGTGGGTGTCGGGATCTCTTCTTTTAGCAAATACCCAGACTCTCTAAACACAGACACCCACACCCATCGTATCATATTAAAATAAAAATCAAAAAACTTCATTTTCGACATTTAACACCAAACCCCTTAGAATATTCTTTTATTTTACAATAATTTCTTATTTATTCTTGTTCTATATTGTTTATTGATTGATTTACTTTCATTTTCAGTTGTTTATGTTAGTTTTTGTAGAATATTATTCATCAGTATAGATAATGATTGTCTATTTTCATATTCTTTAAAATCCGCAGTTGAATATTTAATTGAAATAATTCGATTAATAAAATCGGATGGTGCTCGATGATTATATCTTCCAAGTAATGTCGGAATAGTAACGTCGAGAATAAATTGATTCCATGTTCGATCAAATTTCATCGTATTACCTAATATACAATACGCTAATGCATTCAAATCTAAAACATAGATCTGTTTTAGAAATTAATCTTTGCTTCCTAGATTTACGTAAATGTTTTTCATCGGAATTTAATTCAGGCATTGTTGTTAAAAAATAATTATTGAAAATTTGATGAAATTTATTCTGTGTAATCGATGGATTATCTATTGATGATAATGAAAGAAAAAGTTGACTGAGACGATAAAGTTCAAATGATGTTAATGAATTAACAAGAAATTTTGATGGTATACGAAGAATTTTCAAACTAATATCAATATTTAATAAATCTATTTGAGATAATCGATTTGATGTTATATCAGCAATTGTATGAAGAAATATTCTGTGTATAAAATAAATTATTTTACAAGAAAAACAAAATATTTTACTGTAATGTATTTTTCATATGATTATTCAACTCATTTGATGAAGTTAATTTTGTACGAGTATTTATATAATTATCAAGATTAAAAATAGTTTGTGTACCAAATGATTTTATCCATTCCTGAAATAAATATAAATAGAAAAAAAATAAAAGTAAATTTATTTTTTACATTTGTTTCAGCTAATTCTTCTGTTGATAGAAGTGTTCGAAGATCTTCACATATAGGACAACTCCATCCTTAGAAAAATATCATTTTAAACAAAGAAATATCTTTTATATCAATTTAATAACCTATTAAATTAGTAGCATTTTTAATTAGATGATAAGATTTAATATTTCCAATATCTTTAATACATTGTTGATGATAGACGTTTCCACATATACGACATGCATACAGTTGATTTTGATAGCTATGACATATATAACAATTTAATTGTATTTCAGGTTTAATTTTAATAAGAGATGGTATCTCAATAGATTCTGTTGATATTGATTGATCAGAATTTTCGAGTGAATTATTATGTGTCATATACATTTTCGTACATTCTGATAACGACATAATATATCGTTCATGAACAGGTGATTTATGAATTATATTTCCATGTTTCCAATCATTCCATGCACGAGTTGTATCATCAAATTCAATAATAATCTGTTTTTATCGACAGTTTTTATTTAAATATGAATGAATATATTATATATATATACTTGCTCATCTTTGCTATGAGAGATTCGTGATCGAATCATCGAAGATATAAAACTTGGAAATTATATCTGAAATTTTCTCTTTTACACGAAAAAAACGCGCTTTTATCATTTGAAATATTAATTATAAGAATAAGTTGGATATTACTCTACTTCTACTTTGAAATCATGAATAAAATTGTACAAAGAACTTTCATGCGGGTGTGGGTGCGTGCGGCTATCTTTATTATGTTTCACACTTATACCCATACATCCGCTCCAAATATATATTAAAAATTTCTGATGAAATAACATTTACATCCAGCTTTTATTCAAATATTTCGAGAAATCTACAAAAATTTCGAACATTGCGGGATTTCAGGTATAGTGATTCTTCAGATGAACCATCATGTTGGTTGTATTCGATAAGTAGGTCAAGATATTCATGAAACATCTCAAGAATTAAACCAGTGAATCGAAATGCTTCTGGCTTCCGTAAACAGTCTATGTCGTCTTTAAAGATATCGACTAATGTCTTGGTAGAACGGTCGAATTCTATTACTTCAGTATAACGTAGCAGTTGAGCACGTCCAAAAGGAAAATAATCATTTTTATAACGAAATGTGTTTTTAAAATCAAGGTATTTATCTGCGTCTTCGTCCCATTCACATTTCGTAGATTTTTGTGGAAAATTTAAATACGTCGATAGTAAGTCTGCTTTGTTCCATTTATGAGCTTGTAAGGCTGGATTGTTCGAATCATTAGATTGTAAAGCTGGATTGTTTGAATCATTAGGTTGTAAAGCTGGATTGTTCGAATCATTTTTTTTCGATAAATTGAAGGGATCCAATTGTGCTTGTATTAGAAAATGTGGGTGTTCCCAGGTGCTTGATTTAAAGTAATACCAGACGAAACCATGCATTCCTAATGATTCCATTTGCTGTGCCGCGTCGTTAATTATATCGACAATTATTTCTTTCTCCAACTTTTCGTCATCTTTATGTTTGGTACGAAAAGTGCTGAACAATACAGTAAATGATTCTTGTCCAAAAATATGTGTTTGATTTGTGAATCGCTCAATCGTAGCTAATTTAGGTGCCCATATTTTTAATTTTAGTGTTTCAAGATCATCATTTTTCATGTATGGTTCTAGCACTAAAAAATTTTTTTTTTCGAATAGCATTTGTTGCAGCACTGAATATTCCAGAATAGTTGGGTCAATAGGAGAAATTAATACCATCATATAATGATTGTTACTTGATCCAATAAAGTTGTTCGAAAAATAAGATGAATAAGCTAACAATTCTGTAAGTGCTTCACGTGTATTATTAGAACCGACTTTTTTCAGTTCAATATATATTAAACATATTGAAGTTTCGTTAGATTTTGATACACCAAGTAAATCAAGACGAATATTTTTTCTTAAATCATCATTCGTAGGTAATGGTACTTCTTTACCAATTAATTCTGTTTCCGAATCATGTAGAACAAGATAACTATGTTTTATACGTCTCTGCGCGTTTTTCCAAAGTAAGTATTGAAGGTTAAATTTGTTTTCAATGGGTAAATTAGAGTCAGAATCAGATAATACAATCAATGAGTTAAAGGTCTTACGTTTAATCCAAATATAGTTCTGCATTTCCAGCTCCGAGACTTTCGATTTGGATGTTGGTAATGAGTATTCACTAAGATCATAATCGGCTGGAGCCAAAAATTTCTCATCGTCATTTATGTCATATTTCGTAGCTGCAAAAGTCAACTTTGTTTGAGGTGATTCCATTTTTTAACGTTCACTATTTTGTCCGATTGTAATTGCTGTCTAATACATGTTTATGTTACGAGAACAATAGTTTCTCTTTGTTATACGTATATATATGCGTACGTAGTATGTTGATAGTGAAGAGAATCGTACTAAGATGAAAAAATTTGACAACATATTTATAGATCTATTCTGTTATTCATTTGAACAATTTTTTTGTTTTATGAATGACCAATCAGAACGCAATTCTCTCACAAACACTTCGCTACCAGTTATATGTCATCTCTCTTTTTTTTGTTTGCCTTTCTCCACAGTTAGAGAGGGAGGATGTGAGTGTGTAGCTCGATGAGAGAAAATGAGAGTAAGTGATTAGTGAATCTAATGATTTATTGCAAAAAAGTCAGTGGTACAAATGTCATGAAAGACAAAGATGAAGGGATGATGCGATACAACAAAGAGAAAGATGATATAAAGAAGTTGAACAATGAGAACAGATGATGACATAAATATGAATAATGAGAAGAGATGATGAAATGAGAAGGACAAAGAGATACCAAATGTGAACATATGTGACATATATGAAGAGGAAAAAGAAAAGAAAGTGGAATGTTCACCGAGTTTGTTTAACAAATGAATGATTAAAATTATTTACTACTTTTCAACAATGGTATAAAAATTGAAAGATTCTAAGATCATTTATAACATTTATGAGTTTACCAGTGTCAAACGTAGTCGAGTGCTCTATATATTTTTAACGTAATCTGTATTTGATCTTATCTTTCCTAAACTCGAAATATAATTCTTCTTTTACAATCGTCGATGGTACGAATATGATTATTAATTTCATTTTAATATATATAGACATTATTATTTATCAGAAAATATGCTGAAATTATGAAGAATATACTATTATATTATAATAATGCTTTTAGCATACACTCCGATAAATTACATATGAAACATGAAATTACTGTTGCTATGAATAAAAAAGATATCTTGAAATATACCGTTCAGATTAAAACTGTACAAATATTTCCCTAACGTTTTTTAAGTTTATCTGTAAACTATGAAAGAAACAATAGAATCGCGGATTCTATCAAGTTTGATGAAACTTGACGGTTTTGCTGTTTTTTGTTTTGTTATAAACCTATGAATTTCTTGGTCTATATTTTATACATATATATAATAAATTTTACAATTAAAAACATATGAGCGATCGAAAGGCACTACGATGACTAGTACAATTTTTACTTCTATACTTTCACATTTCTTTCAATTCGTTGTCCAGAAAAAAACACGAAAATCATTTGAATTATATAAAACATCTCTATAATTGCATTTTCTATGAATTATAAGAAGATTCTGTAGCAGTACAAGCTTTTTTCTAAATGACACATAGAAATTTGCATGTTGGTGCCCTATATGCTAAATATTAATTGTTTATAGATGAATCAATATTTGGCGACGCATTCACTCAATGATTATTTTCTGACAATGAAGCAATTTTTTTCTTTGTAGACGTGTGAATCATATATTAAAACGCTGGAACTACCTGTCGAGTTTATTATTGTTAAAAAACCTGCCAATCAGCTCTGTTTGCTATTTATTTTATATATTCCGTTTATTAAAAAAGAGTAAGTTGCTATTATATTGTCTAGTTTTCTTTAATCTTGATATATCACTTCTCTCATATTTTGAATCATCGAAATATATCCAAAACAAATATTGATAAAGAAATCATAATATATAAGAGTAAAAATATAGCAGACTTTCTTTATTGTTTCCTCGTATACATTCAAGAAACATGACTTTATCATCATTAACATCAACTACTGGTTTCGAACATTTTGGTCTCAAACTCTACTCAGCTATTAGTGAAGGTCAAAAAGATCAAAATATATTTTTTTCACCAATAAGTATTGTACTTGCTATGGCAATGTGTACAGTAGGTGCTCGAGAAGAAACATTAAATCAAATGTTAAAAGCATTAGAAGCATCATCAACAACTCAATTAACAAATACAGCTGAACAAGTTATGCGTGTTTTTTCTATCGCTAATCAAGATAAACAAGTTCAACTTAAATTAGCTAACCGTCTATATGCCTAAAAAGCCTATAAACTTCAAGAGGATTATTTAAAACAAGTTCAAAGTTCTTTTGCAGCTGATATTAAACTTGAAGATTTTCAAAATGATAGCGCTAAAGTTGTTCAAACAATTAATGCATGGGTTGAAGAACAAACAAATAAATTAATTAAAAATTTACTTTCACTAAATGATATTATAAGTGATACAAGATTAATTATTATTAATTGTATTTATTTTAAAGTAAATACCAGCGTTGTTTATTTTGTTTTATTCAAGTTAAAAATTTGTTGAATTATAGGGTACGTGGGTAAACGAATTTAATGAATATTCAACAGATAAACACGCTGATTTTCATGAAGCTAATGGAAAGATTTCCAAAGTGAAACTAATGCATAACAGAGATACATATGCTTATGCTAAAAATAAATATTTAGGAGTACAAATTGTTCATTTACCTTATGAAAGTGATAGTAGAGATGTTCAATTTGTTTTTACTGTTATTTTACCAAAACAAGGCGTGTCATTATCTGATGTGGAAAAAAATTAATATCAAAACCTGCTTTGATGCAAGATGTTTTAAATCCACAAAGTACAACAGCACAGGAACTTCTTTTATATTTACCAAAATTTAAAATGGAAGCAACATTTACTTTAAATGATGTTCTTAAACAACTTGGAATACAAGATGCATTTGATCCAAGTAATGCCGATTTTACTGGTATTGCTAGTAAACAAGATGATATGAATGGTCTTTACATCACCAAAGTAGATAATTGATTAATACAGAAGAAAGATTTATTTAACATAAATATTTTAGGTTGTTCATAAAGCATTTTTTGATGTAAACGAAAAAGGTAAGCTTATCTATTTTTAATCATATAAATAACAATGAAATAAGTTCTGAAATTCGAATGATATGTTAATCAATCACTGAAATTCTGTTTGTGTTCGTTAAATTCTTTCGTATCATTGAAATTGAATATTGTTCGAGATTTGTATTTTGAAAAGGAAACATCGAGCGACATTAGATACCAAATCCATCGAATTTAAAGTTGGTCATCTATTTCTATTTATGATTCGAGAATGTCGTCAGAATATAACTATATTTTCTGGAAAATATCTGTCATCACAAAGATTATAACGTTATTTTCTTGGTTACGAAATGAAATCCTTTTTATCGTCTGAGGTTTTTCCTTTCATAAGATTTTATAGTTAATAAACGTAATTCGATAAAAATTTATTGCAAAATTTTTATTTAAATTAGGTTCAGAAGCTGCTGCTGCTACTGATTATTTTTCGGGGTTTGCGGGGGGAATGATTCGCCAGAATCCTGATCCGATCATATTCAAAGCTGATCGACCATTTTTATTTTATATACGAGAAATAAAACAAAATCTCACATTGTTTACTGGCAAATTTGTCACATGCGCAAATACATCATCCTAATATATACTGCGATATTTATTTAACTAAGAAAAAGCTTTAATAAATTAGCCAAGAAAACATTATCATAAATAGAATTCATGCTTTTTATATAACACAATATATTTATAATGCGCAAGATTGTGATACATATAGCTTCTTTTCCATGGTTTCGTTAATAATGTTTATTTATATGTTGTATTTTCTCAACACATATTTTTAAATATGAAGAGAACTTTGATTGAACAAAAATAACATTAATTTTTATGGTATTATGTATGCATTGATAAATCAACAGATCATAGTAGAATGCGATCAAATGAATATCCTAACATTTATACTACCGATAACGTTAGTTGAAGAAGTTCTTAAAAGTAAACAGCTTTTGTATTCCAGGTGAAAATAATCTACATAAGTCTAGTGTCTTATAAAACACTCTGGAATTCGTTGAAATTCAGACTTCGGGAAACAATCTCTGTATAAAAGACTAAAATAAAACGTTACATTTGTCGGAAAAGACACGAAATGGATAAATTTAGAAATAGGACAGAATTGATTGGAGTAAAACTTTGTATGAATTATAATTTTTACAAATTGAAAGTCGAATACAACAAGATGAGTAAGAATAAAACTAGTATACTTTATCAGTACTAAATATTAGACATGACTGTGAAAATAATATGTTTCTTCATAAATTAAATAGGTAGATAAATACTATTCATCTTTCTCTCGTATTACAAGCATGAAGAAAATAAGGATATTTTATTATTTATTCAGATTTTTTTGTCTTTTACATGACGAAAAAAAAGAAATTAGTTAAACATTATGTCAATTTTTAATTATACAATTAATTGTCGTTCGGTTGTACCATTTGAACTTGACTGAATTGATAATCTATCTTTACCAACACTTTCATTTATAATTTGCCGGTAACGTTTGTCCAGTTCTTTCATTTGCTTCTTTCGAGAAATTGGTACATAGTAATACCAAATACCCATTGCTACATGTACAATAGTATAAAGGCTAACAAGAGCAAAAAATATTCTTCTATCGATCCAAATCCAATACGAATCTGATTTTAAATTAGCATGTTCATCATAAATAAAAATAAGTGTACCAATAATCGAATGCCAAACACATAAAATAATTAAGACAAAAATAGATACAATTGCATATAAATCAATTAATGTCAAATAGGAAATATTTGGCTAATAAATACGAAAATAATAAGTTAAAAAATAAATATGATTAATGCGATTTTTACCAAAGCATTACTGATTGTCCATCGAAATGCAATTGATGTAAGAAGAAGTGTACATGATATAGCAATTCGAAATTGAACACCACTAATTTATTTGAAGAAAAAACTATTAAATTATAGACAAACAACAGATTTTATACTTAGGTGGAATAGCAAATGAACTAAAACATATCATTGTAATTAAAAATACAAGAAAATAACCATTCCAAAAGAAATAATCAGCACGACGAGCTAAACAGGAAAATAAAAACCACTCAATTTATTAGAAATAAATAATCTTTTATCATACCCGCATGACATGCAATAGTTAAAATTGAACGTTTACGTTCATGTCCTGGGGTATCTAAGGAATAATCTTCATCATTTTGAAACAGAAATCCTTTGATGAATTTAGTTCGTGTTTGAATATGATCATATAATTTCCATTCTTGTTGATCGAAAAATGCTTCACGATTAATACCTGATGGTCGATTTGAATCAGTTTGTAATGTAACTTCAGAATCAAATAATGCTGATCCAATTGATATACTTAATTCTTGTATATCAGTTGGAAAATGATGTAAATCAAATTTGGAATGAAAACTTGCATTAACATCACGAAATTCACATATTTGTATTTGAGAATTGGATTTTTTTATTGTATATTTAATTACTTCTTTACAATCTTGACCAATATTAAGTAAAAATAGTTGTGGATGCCAATTATTTTCAGGAAAATCTTTTGAAAGTTTGATAGTTTCTCCATTATTTAATCGAATTTGATCATCATTTGAAAGTGTAGAAAGAATTTTATCTTCATCATCATCATCATCAGAATTTAAAAACCAACGAGCTTCAATAGCTACATGAGCTTGAAATTTTTCTGCTCTCGTATCAAGTTCACCTACAATGAAATTTTATGATAAATAAAAAATTTAATTTAAAAAAATAATAACATACCTATTCGAAGAAAAATAAGACGTACAAATACATGAGTAGAATTATTGCCTTCTTCATATTCATTTAAAATATGAATGTTACGAATAGCTATAAATATATACAAAACAAATTATTCATTTAGTATTTTTCGTGTTTTTGTAACATATATACATATAAACAGAGATTAATGAGTGTTTTCTATTACCCGTTTCTATCGTATGTGCAGTCATTGTTTTGTTTATTCTTTATCTTCTTGATATTGGCTGGATTATATAAAAATATGTTTTTTCTTTTCTGCCTAACGATAATCAATTACATTCAAGCAACCACTTACATATATATATATATGTAAATATATGATCAGTGATCTGGTCTTATTCATCGATAATTATATAGTCTACGAGTACAGCTAACAATTCAAGAAGAATAAAGAAGTGCCAACAATAAACTATTCAATTTTATTATTCTTATAATTTTTTACTTTTTAGAATTATAGAAATTATATGGTAGAGAGAATAAATATAAATTGTATTACTGCTTTTATTAAATAAATATTTATGAGGTTATAGTTTATATCGAGTACTTTTTATGATTTTACTCATCGATCTTATATATTGTTAATACATTAGTAAAATCTTTGTATCGGTTCAAATCTGAAATAAATAAAAGGTTAGGCAACATTCAATTTTTTATACATACAATTGATAACGACGGAACTTTTATAAAGAAAAATAAGCAAAATATTTAACTCGACAGGATAGTTAATGTTAATTAAGTTCGTTGTAGTTGTTTATCAGATGTTATATTTGAAGTAGTTGCCATTTGTTTTTTTATTTTGTCTAGCAGTTCCATTACCATTTTTATTAGTTTCATTAAATGAAGGTGCAGTAGGTGATCTTAATGAATTATCAAGTGGTATTGCTAGAATAACATGTGATACAAGAGGCGAACAACTAATTCAACGTGAATCCCATAAATGAATAAAACCATCATCTGATGATGATGCAAGACTATCATTACTAAGAAATAAAGTAGAATTCATAGCTTTTGTATGATCATTAGGTATTTGTACAGAAGAACTTGGGGTTCGACAATTCTATATACGAAATGTTCCATCATCTTAATAAAATATATAGATTTTCTTTGAGTTTCTCGTATAGATAGATAACGGTTTCACAGTACTTTCTCTTATTATAAATATTTATTTAGTTGTATATTGATTGACTTCATTTTAATGACATATAATTAAGCAAATATAAACAAAATTTTTTGTATATATCACGCATTAACTGTTTTCTTTTATTTTCTATTTTTCAAATATCAATATAAATTTGATCTAATTCATTTCGATACCATTTATATTTGATATAAAAAATCTATTAAAAAAGCATAATGATAGCACTTTTGGAATGGTCTAATATACTTGTTTCTTGGTATGAACCCTTTCAAAAGCTTTTGTCGATATTATAAATTTTAATCTATAAACATCAAATGAATAGATCTCCTTTTGTTCAAGCTTAATTCTAATAGAATTCATCGTGTGTTCTCAAAATGATGCTTGTAATAATTGAAGAAAGGATCTAGAATTTTACGCTTCCTTTTATCTCCATCGAAATTACTAATCCTCTTTTGTAAAAAAAACAACATATTTTTTTTATTATTATCAATTTGCAATCAAGCATATTAACAGGAACTTTATGAGTACATAAACTGATAGTTCACAGAAAAGTATAGTTTTTAACTTAAACAATGATATTTACTAAACTTACGTGAAGAAGTGATTACAAGTGATTTTGTTTGATGACAAGAGACATAGTTTAATTCTCCATCATGTCCGGAAAGTGTACAAAGTGAAGTACCAGTTTCCACCTATGTATATATGTGTATGATTTCTAATAATAACTAACCGGCCAAAGTTTACCACTTCTATCTTATGAAGCTATTACAATCTGATCACGTTGAAACCAATCAGCACAAGATAAATCATTATCACCTCTTAAAGTTAATAAAGGACTACGTATAATTTGTGTAATCATTTCATTATCTTCATCTCTGTTTTCATCAAGAGAACATTTCCGTATATGTACTTCATGATCTCCACTTGCTATTAAAACAAAATCATGATCAAAATATTCAAATCAACACGAATTAACATTTACACAATGACCTTGATATTAAATAAGAGAACGCCCTGTTTTTCTAGACTAAATAACAGATGTTTTATTAGTAGAAGCTGATCCAAAATAACGATTATCTAAACCACCAACATACATATAGAGATATAAATTGAATTCAATAAAAATTTCATCTGAACATTCCATATAACATCTTAATGTTGATTTGTTGATGAAAAACTTAAATCATCAGATTGATTTCCTGTTCTTAGTACAACTCGATTTCTAATCATTAGAAAAATATTTGTTACTCGAAGTTTACTTGTTGTTATAACATGTGCATTATTATTATTATTGTTTAATCCACCATATCGTTCTAATTCTTTTCTTAAAGCAACATTTTCAAGTAATACAGCTTCAAATTCTTTTTCAACTTGACGTAATAATTGACGAAGACGAACTTTTGATGCGGATGGATTCTCCAATGATGATAAACAAATATTAGTAACACCGAGTAATGGATCGATACTACTCGTATCAATAGATGAATTTAACGGATTAGAAATTTCTTCAATCAGTGTCGCACATCTATAATCAATTCAATGAAAGATTAAAAACTTTTTCATATAAATAATACATACTTATTCAGAACTGTATAAATTCGTTGACGACGATCTGACATTGTAATAAAAATAATCAAGTTTTTTTCTTTATTCACGATTCATTCAATATTTCTTAGTAAATTGAAAGTGGTATGAGAAGAGAAAAAAAGGAATATCTATTGATAGTTGAATCGTTCGTCGAACATGATGTACCTAGATCAGTGAGTGCCGTGTTTCATTGTCTTATAAAACTGATAGATATTTTCTCCAAATTATCCAGCTTGAGATATCTCTTATAGTTCGTATATATATAAATATATGTCTTTTTATAGAAAAAAATAGAGTTGACAAGCCGATATTTTACAGAGAAAAACATTTTTTCTTATAGGCATTGATAAGATGCGCAGACATAGAAGCTTTTTCTTCGTTTGTTAGGACGCAAAAGCGAACAAAAACAGTTTCATCTGTCCTTTCATTAGTTTCATATTCCTAGAGGAATAGAAGTACTCTATAATGATGATGATGATCAATTATTTGTATTAATAATAATAAACAACTGATTCATTATAGACTGTAAATATGACTTTTATGATAAGTGAATGGGGGAAGAACACTCTTGAACTGTTGATGTTTTTAACCAATTGATCTTTTGGAATATCTTATACATAGAATCAATATTAATAGTCTGATCAAAATTTACCGTTTATTCGTTTCTCAATGTTGATTTACCTTGATTGGTTTCATTACATCTTATAAGATAAGAATCCTTGCAAAATATACAAAGCTTACTTAAATAATTTGAAAAATGATTCTTTCTAATATGTCTATTTAATGTAACAATGGATATGAACATATTCAAATAAATATGAGATCTATAAGCTAATGCATAATATTTGATCTTAGATTGGAGATTTATTTTTTTCTTTACTTATTATATGAACAATCAACGAAAGAATATATGTATACAAAAACGAAAAATGATACGAAGAGAATCTGTCTATATATATATATCATAAGTAATGATGTTAAAACAGAATAAATACATATAAACCCAAGTAAGTCTATATTCTTATCTGATTCTTAATACACTTGATTATTACATAGAGATATAAATGAAATTATCTGGATTATTTGGTTTTTTAATAATGACTATTATTTTAGTCATTTCTCATGCAAAGCGTTTATCAGTTGAAAATATTGACGATTTGGAATCAATCGATCATGATACTCGTTCATTTTTAAAGAAAAAACATGAAAAAAATTACGATAAATATACTGATGATTCAAGCTGTGTCTTGTGTAAATTTAATATGATACCATGTTGTAAACCAAATTTATGCATTAAAAAAAGTTTTCGTCCAGATGAATGTTTAAAACTCAAACCTCGAGATTTATATTAGACATTAACAACAAGAAAACATCCTTGTAGATCTATTGTATTTCGCTTTATTTTAGCGTAAAATAATTAGTTAAAACTATAGATTTTTAGCTATTATAATAATAAATAAATAAATAATGAAACTTATTCTTTTCATTCGTTTGGTATGTTTTACTTTTATTCATTTAATGTATTCTGTTTACTGTAGTTACCGCAGTAAGGTTATATTATAAATATTTATTATTAAAATAAGGTATGAAACTAAATTTTACTCTGTTTGTAACAGACAGGCTTCTGTTATTTTGTTTCTGTTTACAGAATAAACTAACAGGGATTACATCAAATAAAAATAAAATACTTTAGAAGAAAGAATAAGAACATAGACTAATTAGATTGTACGAATAAAAAGAGTTAAAATGGATATAATCCTTTAGTTATATCATCTTTCAGACGATTTAGCTTTGCTGCTTTTGATTTCGTTTATAAATAATAATAGTTATGAGTATTGCGAGTATACATATAAGTAATAACACACCAAAACCAACTATTAAACCAATAAATTCTCCTTTTGTTATTAAACGTGGTGGTCGAAATTGTGGATCTAAATTATTTGTTTGGTTTATCATATAACCCAATGTCCA